ACCACCACCACCACCACCACCACCACCACCACCACCACCACCACCACCACCACCACCACCACACCCACCACACTACTACTACTACTACTACTACTACTACTACTACTATTACTACTACTACTACTACTACTACTACTACTACTACTACTACTACTACTACTACGACTACTACTACTACTACTACTACTACTACTACTACTACTACTACTACTACTACTACTACTACTACTACTATTACTACTACTACTCCGCGCCGCCCTGGGGGGGGCAACGGAGCGGTGGATTTTTTTCGAGGCGGGGGCGGGGGAGGGGCTCGAGGGGATGAGGGGGGGGCTCCGGAGTGGGGGGAGGAGGAAGAGAGGAGGACGACGAGGACGAGGACGAGAACGAGGAGGACATGGACCAGGACGACGACGACGAGGAGGGGCGAACGGGAGGTCATAGTACGTTGGTTTCGCCAGCCCCGCCGCCCGCGGTTGGCTGGTCGATTGGCGACCCTCGGCGGGGGCCCCGCAGACGGGGCCCCATCAAAAAAATTGCGTCTGCCCCCAGAGCTCTCGCAGGCGATGCGGGCCCATCAGACCCATCACTCTCAAGCACGAACGAGAAGGGCTCGGAATTCACAGAAGTGAAAAAAACACCTCACACAACTCACGCAAAAAAAGGCTCGAGAAACCAATGATAGCATCGACATCGCGAAGCCAACACACAGCACGAAGAAACTGGGCTTGCGATGCTCCAAAACAAAAACCCGGCACAACGATGTCCCCTTCGAAGAACCTCGCCTCCTCATCACCAAGAACCACACACGCCGCGGCAGCAGAGATGACACCTCCAATCGATAAACTAACGAGATCCATAACCAAGGAGCCGAAGGCAACTAAGTCGAGCACCGCAGCCGCCTGAAGTGCTAGAGCCAGCAGACCCATAGACAGACAAAACCAGCTTCGAGACCAGGCACCCTCAAGAGGCAACCGATAACGAAACTTCTTCCCACGCTGGATGTAGATGTCCCGGGGCTGGGCAATGCTCGAATAGCTCCTGGCGAACCGGGCCCACGCAGGCCCCGCCCGATATGCCCAGCAGGCCTCAAAGGCCTGACATCTGCACTCACGACCGCGGTGGAAGACATCGGACAACGACACCGATAACAGCACCCATAAGCGTTGCCTTCCAACTCTCTCAGACCATCGCTCAAAAGCGGAACTGCATCTTTTATATCAAACACTTCACGCGTACACGCAGTGACTTCTACAACTGCTCGCACTGCTCTCGCGATCGCTATCCACGCTGATGCAGACGGCTTGCCCGACATATTCGAGAGCCTCCGAAGACATGAGTGACCCTGTTTGCTACATGTTTTCAAGCCCTCGCGCGTGAAGCACTTCAACGTGACGAACGACAGCGGGGCTGGCGGCGCTAATGGAACAGCCTGGCTCCGAGGACAGCCTCGAAGCCACTCAGGCAGAGCGGCACGTGCTCTAGCGACAGCCAAGAGGGGCACCTGCGACGCCGAGCGATCAGACCTGAGCTTAAAATTCGGGTCGAGAGCGATCGCGGGCAGGAGACTGCTGCAACACCACCTGGCACAAACGTCGTAGTAGAGGTACCATGCCATAGAACCTGCTGAAAAAAACACGCTCTTGCTCACGGCAAGCAGGAGGCCAAG